CACCCCTGTTTTGAGAGAAATCTTCTGCATCCGTGGATGTTTTGTTGCCCTTGTCTAGCTTGGATTAATACTTAGTCTATAGGCACACACCTGATCATCTGTTTGCCCTCTTACAGCACTAAACTATGTTTTCTACCTTTATCTTGCATCTACCTACCACTTCAGCATTTTATTAAAAATAGTAATAATAATAATAATAATAATAAAGGGAGAAATGTGGGATCCACATATAAATCAAGTATAAAAATCAAATGAATATTCATATTTGACCTGATTGTTTATAGTTCATAATGAGTGATCAAAACCAAAAGTTTCTGTGATGACTGCATTGTTCACCATGTAAGAACTTGTTCGTTATGCTTCAGAAGATTGGAGACTGATGAGAATTAGGCTTGGGGTGGATTAATGATTGTGCATTGAGCATTAACTCCCCTATACAGAATTTTATTGTTAACAACCATTTGATCAATAAATATGAGAGATGCCCTCTCAAAAGAAAAAAAAAAGTTATACTCAACATGAATTTCCACCAGGAATTGTGCTTTTAAATTGCAGTTAAGTAGACTATGGGCCTTCTTCTAAAGAAAGGTATCTCATATATTTTCAGTTTTGTTTTAGCCATTTAGTTTTATAATAATTGGCTATTGGCTAAATACAGATGCTATCCCCATTTTTCCAGACATTAGAAATGGATAAACAGTTCCAGTGACATAAAGACTGTCCTATGAGGAGGCAAATCCCTGCTTTGATGACTACCCAGTCTTTGAAGAGCTACCTCACAAACAGCATCTTTACAACTGCGACACAAAGTAAACAAAAGAACCAATGTTTCTGGTATTACTTGGTACTGTAATCTTAACAGTCTGTTATTATATGGATAAAAACATTTGATGAAGATGACTATATTTTATGTGGATTACTAAAAAAACTTCTTTTGGAAGTGAGATTTTAGTTCTATAGAAATTTGTTACTTACCATGAAATGAGGTTGTGTTAAAATACGCTTTAGTTCCTTTGCATCATTATTCTCAGGGTAACATGAAATTTCTTCCAATACCTAAAAAATAAGCAAGATATATGATAATATAAACAGGATGCCAGATTTAGAAAATACAGAATCTTTTAAATTAAAAATCATGACTGTATTTTTATGGCAGGCAAAACAATTATTGTGGAAAAAATTCATTATATTATTCAAAGGTTACTAATATACAAAAGAACTATATTGATGATAATAAAAAATAAACAGATTGCTATTATAGTCTCTGTCTACATCACCCAACTTAACCCAATTATTGAAAAATACAAAACAAAGTGACAAATCCATAATATATATTTATTACAAGTTTAAGTAACTTAATTAATGTAACGGGAAAATATCTCCGCAAATCTTTTTCCAAACTCACCATCAAAATGAATCTGTAATAAAAGTTAATGACAGCTTTCTCTTATATTAACAAAACTGTCAATTCTTTTCAGAAAGATTAAAACAACATAAAATCAAATAGAAACAATTTAAAGACAAGAAACACTTAAGTAACTTTGCTTGTAGCCTTGCAGAATCAATGTTATTCTCCACACTCATCTCACATCGAGAAAAGCACACCTCTGCCAATGGTTCCTGGGATTAGTTGCCAGGGAATCCAAGAGAATTAAAAAAAGAAACCAAACTTTTCTCTTTCCACTCAAATTTTCTTCACTAATTCGTTGTTAACATTTTCTCTATACAGGTAAAAGTGGTTGTTTTCAAATGAAATTGGTCTTCCAAAGTTATCCCTTACTACCAGGAATGAGTTTGCCCATTTAAAATTTGATTATGTGACATGAGCCCAGGGAGAGCCTGTGTACTTTTTCAGAATAAACATACCTCTGTAGAGTGGTTATAGACATTTCACTCAATTCCAAACATTGAGCCAATCAAGGAAAGCTTCAGGAGGACTGGAGGTCAGGGGCACACAAGTCATCCACCCAGCAGGAACCTCCCGCCTCACCTTGGAGAATCTTAATGCTGGGGCAGGAAGGGAGGTAGGAGGTCACAGCCTAAAGCTTAGATTTCAGCAGCATACCTTTGGGCTACTCAACACCACCCCCAACCTCAGGAACGAGCAAACAAACAAAAACTACAGGTGCTTTTTATTTTTTTTAAATCTAAACGAATCCTTCACAAGTTCTGGTTATGCTGTTAATTCATACTGTTGAATGATGAGAAGCCACTTCTACTTGGTGTATTTTATACTTTGAATTTCTCTGCCTGTGAAATGAATGGATGAAACCATATACTTTCTCTGGTCCCCTGCCTCTCGCAGTCTATGATTTTAAATACCAAGTCAGAGACAACCTGTCCAGTGTCCTTGGTCTTGTATTGCAGTGAATATACCATACTTTCTAGTACAGGTTTTACGTTTAAACTCTGGTTGGGAAGGGATTATATCTTTCATTCTCTTTCACTTAGTAATCTCATTTTGTAAGAAAGACTCTTTTTAAAAAGGCTTGATAACACCAAAAAGTAAAAGACAAAACTAGATGTCTAACAATGGAGCAATTGCTAATTCGCTATATCATTTAGTAATAGCAAAGAAAAATTATGCCATTGTTAAGAATTTATATTTATGAAGACGAAGCAGAAATAGAAAAACGCTTATTATAAAACATCACGTAAAAAAAAGGATACATTTTGATTGTAACTATATAAAATCTATCTGCAAATAGATGGCAATTGGAAAAGCATACGCAAAAATGAAAATTATTGTGTTAGGATGCTGGGATTATAGATGAATTTTGGTTTCCAAACTTTCTGCAATGTCATGTTTCTATGATAAAAACTTAGAGAAAGTTTGTGATAGATACAGCCATGCATACTAGCCAACAATTCACAAAAATGACCTCTCTGAGCTCAGTGTATTTAATCGCTATAGATATTTGATTAGCATTTAAACATTACTCCCTTGAAAAGCAACTCAAATTTTCACAGCATGTCTATTTCCACCAAGTGCAGTAAAATAACCTTTTTTTAAATAAATAAGAGAAGTAAAATTGGTATGTTAATGTTTTCAAGTTTACATATCAGAATCAAAACTAGAAATCTAGGCAATGTTGCTGCTTAGATTTTTTTTCTTTCCTGTATATGAAATGTTCAGTGATAAACTTAGAAATACAAAATCTGACTGAATAGTCCAACTGCGACTCCAAGGGAACTTCCTCTTACCGGGCTGCAGAAATGTTTTCAATAAAGAAAGCGAATGTAACACCCAGGTACATTACAAAATATATCACTTACCTCTTTGGCTCTCTGTACTGCATCACTGGGAGGATTCCTGATTTGTGGTGAAGACTTTGTGTTAATTTTGTCATACAGCTGAAAACAAAGAAGAAAATCCAATCAACACTCATAATTCTCTGTTACCATCCAGAGCTTCATAGTTATTATCTCACAAGTATTTCACAGCAGTTTCCTCCTAAAGGCAGGGTCATTCTTTCAGGGGCATCTTCTTGCTAATAATCTTTTACTTATTCAGTGAAACTTGTAGGAATATGAGTCTTACGCATATGTTTTTAAAAAATCATCTTTAAATAGATGGTTCAAAATTCTGTCAATGTGGCAATTTCCTTCTAATTTAAAATTCAGCACTATTCCAGTAATCATGGTATTTTTTTCCTCTACTAGAAGCAACACTCAGTAACACGAATACAGAGTCAAATGGAAGAATGCTTTCTGGCCAAGACACGGCTAAAGGAATTTTCACAGAAATCTAAATCTTGGGAAAGGGCAAACCCAATTCCTTCTAGGAAGGAATGTTCTCACAAAAGGTTAACGCTTGTTTTACTAGGGCTGTTCATTAACAGTATCAATGCTGGCATCCTTCAGCAGGAAATCATGGATATACACTTTTCCCTTTTGAATTTTAAATTCACAGAATGTAAGAAGACATTTAAAAAAATCTAAATATATTTTAAAAACTCCACAAATCTAAATGATTCAAAATTTAACTTTCTGAAGAAAATTAATTTAATTCTTCAGAGAAAAATGCCTGTACTGCAGAAACACAATTAAAATATTAATTTCTACCTCAGATGTCTGTCTCATTCAACAGTCTGCTTTGAAAGTGGAAAGTTAAAAATGATCTTGGCTCGTCTGCTGTTTCTATTTCCTAACTTCTCTAAAATAGGTGGGGGTTTTTTTTTTGGTTGGTTTTGTACTTTTCTTCCTCCCCTACCACGCATAAGATTGCTAGTAGAACAAAATGCTGAGTGTAAACATCCTTCAGATTACAGTTAGATTTGTTTATATTGATGCAAGGAAAAGTTTTATGGTTTGTAAATATGTGGGCCACACCATACCCAAAAATGCCTGATAAATAAGTTTTAAAAATGCTTAATGAGAGCAATGTGAAAATGGAACAGTGACCATTTTTAAAAGATGGCATTAAGGAAGCACCACTAAATCAGACATTAAAATAAATACTAGAAGTAGGCTAGTAAAGTGTTCCTTTATTTAAAATATTACATTGACATTTAGGTAACTAGTGATCTGTGGCTGGTGCACAAAAGTTTGCCCAAGTGCCTAGTGAGTACATGTGGGCGGTCTCCATCCTCCGAATGGTTTCTATTTCTAAAAATTGTAAATTTTGAAATTTGGAATTAGGGAATATATTTTCCCAAAGAAATAATGTTATACATAGTGTCAGGTTCCCAGACTAGCCTATAGAGATGAAGGAAATACTGTACATATGCAATAAAAAAACTGAAGAACCCCTCCTGCCCCCAAGTAAGGAACCATAAGTTAAAACAACACATTTTAAATACAGAACACTTAGAAAAATAGACAGTCACCACCTGACATATCATAATATTAATAAACAAAATTTAAAAACCTATGTGAATAAGGAGATTTTTAAAACTCTTGAATGCTACTGTTTGAAAAAAAAAGGAAATTCAGTTGAAAGCTTTACAAGTTGATGACATTATCACTTTATAATGTCTAATTTCATGACAAAAAGTTTTTGCCTTTTCCTCAACCAAGGACTACTACTAACACTACTTTCAAATTTTACCTATGATTAGGGTTAGTTTCTATTTACATGTTTAATAAGTGCACATTGGTTTTTATTCACAAAGCCACAAAAATTCCACAGCTCCCAGAATTGCTCTCGCTCTACCATCAGAGACTTTTTATTTTTGGGTTGGTTTTGCTATGCCAAGTACGGTTCCCTAGGCCTTCTGTCAGTGTGGTTTCTTGAGGATTTGTAGCAGAATCAGCAGGCTTGGTTAGGAAACACAGAGATTCCTGGGCCGCACTCCAGACGTACTGAATTAGCATTTGAAATGGGGCTCCAGAAATCTGTGCTTTAATAAACTCCTGAGATATTTGTAAATCCTATGCCAAGTGCTAACTCTTGAGAGTAGCTGCAGTTATGCTGTTAACAATAGTGATAAGTGCTTTTACTGAGCATTTACTAGATGCCAGTTACTAGTCAAAGTTCTTAATATATATTTCCTTATTTGACCTCAAACAACCTTATCAGGTTGGTACCCCTATTATTCCTACTTTACAGATGAGGAAACTGAGGCACAGCATAGAAAAGTGAGAACCATTTTTCTAGCCTTACACGGCATGCAGATACCTGGAGTTTCAATATTTTCAAGACTCTGCTCCAATAAAAGTGTTCAGACCAAATTTTCCTCTGCTCCTTTGGTCTGGCCTGATCTGATTCATCACGCATTCACCCAAAGTTAGTGGAACTAGCGGTGGGGATGAGGGAGAGCTTAAAAGTTTAATATCATGGCAGATACAGCAGGAAGGACTCAAAAGAAGGGGCCTTCTGCTTGAGGTGGGGGCACTGGGCTCTGCCTGTCCAGTTCCTTGGAGAGGCCAGGACTGGAGCAGTCAAGGTAGGCACTGGATGGAGTGGATGGTGTTCATGTGGCTAAGAATACATGGTGAATCTTAATGTCTACTTATTAACCAAAAGGGCAACTAAGACCCAAGGAAGGAAGAGGTGCAGCAGAGGCTCACTTTGTTACCATCAGTGGGAAGAAGTGATCCCTTGTTGATCCATCTACCCATTCACCCAAAACTTGCTGAGGTTCTACTATGTACTAGGCAGTGGGGTTCTATTTACTGTGGTTACAAAGTTCTTGTCCTCAAACAACTCACCAATTCCAAAGATGTGTATAATCAAAGTCCCAGAAACATATGAAGGTCCCCTTTGAGGACCTGAGAGTAGTTTGATAGTAATAGTGAGCAGCCTCAAGTTGGGGACTATATGGATGTGTATACATTTTCATTTTCCCCTCTCAATTTCTGTGACTGTATTTTTGCCTTTGGAACTCAAAATATTTTAGGGATACCCTGAACAAACAGAAACCATTTGAGAAATGTGGCAAAGCAGGTAAGTTAAAAGTCATCAATGGATAAAAGTTTGAATGCAATGTATTAAAGTGTTTTAAAATAGAAGAAATAATGCAGCTTTTCAACTCCTCATTCTCATGAATCATCTTCATATTGAATGCTGCCTATGACATGAAATTCAGGACTCAAAGTGCAAATCCAAGTGAAGTTCTGTCAAGGTCTGGGGGTGCGAGGTGGTTGGGCTTGAGAACAAAGGCAGGCTGCAGCTTCTCTTTATCACCCTTTACCCGCTCCCTGATTCCATCAGGTATAAAGAATATCTAGATTGATACGATCTGGGACTTGGCCTGTGGTCTTGGACTTTCAGCGTAAGCCCAGAGCTAAGGCCAGAAGGAAGTTAAGGGGCACCAAGTCGGCCAGAGCATCCCTGGACATTCCCTTCCTGTGGGGGAGGAAAGGAGAGGGAGTTGCTCTCTTCCTTATGCGAAGTGAAGGATGGCGGACGCTCCAAAAAACCCACGCAACAGAAACTGGATGTGCCAGCAAGGCGGGCTCACTGGCTCATTCTCTGGAGGGATGTTTGCTAAGTTGCAGCAACTTACAAGACCCAATGTGGTGTACCAGGAAGAAGCCCTGTGTCAGAGAGAGTCCTAGGGGCCGCCTGAAATGTGGTGTTTGGGTCACAGGTGAGAAGGCACCGATATCTGCCTCGTTCCTGGCTGGAGGAGACATGGGCAGCCCGTAGGGGCAGGGTGAGGCCAGCGGTAGGGCAGCTCACACCCGTAGTGTATGTTGGGGCAAGAATGTGTGTTTCTCATGAGTCAGGAAGCTGCCTCAGAATGCAGTCTGGCTGGAGCCATCTTGATGGAAACTTGCCTAGGCGTGTTGCCTGCACGGAGCAAGGGGACCTGGAAATAAGTAGCTGTGGGGTAACACCTGGGGGCAGGAGCCGAGAGGGTGCTGCGGAGGCAAGCGGCAGACTACACTGCTGATGCAGAAGCAACCTAGGATAGAGCCAACACGGGGATGCCTGTCGCAGCAAAGGCACCCACAGCCAATGACACTGGCTGCCTGAGGGACAGGATTATAGAGCAGCCTGCATAAGTGCTTCTTGCTCTTTTCCATGACCAGACTTGAGTTCTTTGATACTCAGTACTTTAGCAAACTCCTGAGATATTTGTAAATCCTTTTATGCCCAGTGCTAACTTCTGAGAGTAGCCATAGTAATGTCGATAATAACAATAGTGATAATTGCTTTTACTGAGCATTTACTAGAAGCTAGTTACTAGTCAAAATTCTTAAAAGATATTCCTTCATTTGGCCTCAAACAACCCTATCAGGTTGGTACTCCTTTATTCCTACTTTACAGATGAGGAAACTGAGGCACAGTGTACAAAAGTGAGAACCGTCAGTAACAGCACCTAGTATTGGGCTGAGTACACAGTAGATGTTTAATACATGTTTCTTCAAAAAATAAATGAGTATTTGAGCTGGTGAACAGGAAGTATAAATAGATGTTTTAAAAAATTCAGAGTGACATAAAAATAAAGAGTGGGAATACTTGTTTCTTTAGGAACCAGGTATCATTTATCGTTAGCGCTGCTCACATAGTTAAAAACTTTCTCTCATAATTAATATATTTTGACTATGTTTAATTCTTTTTGTATGTGTGTTTCAAATAGGACTTACTTCCTAAAATTTTCAAGATAGAAGAGAATCAATATAATTCAACCGCTCCATTTTAAGGAGGAGAAAGCTGAGGTCCAGTGAAGTGATGTGCTCAGGATTTTGCAGCCAGAGCAGCAGGGTCTAGACTGTGGCTTCCTGACGCATTGCCTTCCCTTTCATACCACATTTCCTGGGCTTGTATTAGAATTCAGTAATACATGATGTCTCATGCCAGAGAAATATTTGGGGGAAAGAACTGTAGAAAATGCCATACTCAAAAAAAATACATTATGATTTCAAAGATTAGCCAAATAACTATAAGCCTTGCCCTGTTATAA